CTTGTAGCTGGACTTCATTTGACAGCCTAACATGCATTAGAGAAACTCGAATGGGATGCTGGCAGCTTTTGGCCAACCTGTCAGGCAGTTACACATCTTCTGCACAACTGGCTATGGTTTTTAATCTCCAGTGGGTTTTTCAATTTCTGCAGCTACTTCTGTCACATTACCTGCTGAGAGTTGTGGAGACAAGCAGTCAGCTGATGTGGTTTTAGTTCCTAGACAGAGTTGCCTGTCATGCATACATGGCAGTTACCTCACTGGCCGTTGGTCAGCCCTCATTGCCAATTATTTGAATCCTCTCAATGTGTTTTTAAAGGACTTCAGTTTGTGTCTGAGCTCACAGATCACAAATGATCTTTTCCATTGATCCTATAATCCATGTACTTCTTTTTCCATGCTGGGATTTTTTCTCTTGTTTTACACAAGCATTTCAGAAGCAAAGACACTAAGCTTCCCAGGACCGCCTCTGGGTCACTTCTCACAGCTGTTAGTGTGACAGGTGTTATCATAAATTAAAAGTATGTAAAGTGTAAGGGCTGGGCTCTTCCAGGTTGAAACTTCCACTTCTCCAGAAGCAGGTAGAGCAATTTCTATCTGAAGTATGCTAGACATTAGGAAAAAATTTCTTCATCAAAAGGGTTGTCACGTATGGGAGCAGGCTGCCCAAGCGAGTGGTTGAGTCACCATCCCAGGAGGTATTTATAAGACATTTAGATGTGGCACTTTGGGATGTGATTTAGTGGTGAACATGGTGGTGCTAGATTAACAGTTGGACTTGATGATCTTCAAGATCTTTTCCAACCCAAATGATTCTATTATTCTGTGCTCAACAATACAATGGTACTAATCTTTCATCAAATGAAACACAGGAATAAACACTGCACCATGATATAACACTGAAGAGAGAAAATGCTGCTTGCAGCTATTTCAGAGCTGGGACTTTTGTAACTTAGAGTTCAAGTGAGGTGTCAGTTCCCCAGGAAAATTTTTATGACCAAGAAAAGATAACTCTGCCTATCAGTCAGCACTTCATTCTCCCAATTGTCAGATTTAATATGAACCTGTTTTCATTTTAAGCTCACCTCTCCCAGCAGTATCCATCCATGGGCATGGATGGCTGCTGCTGGGAGTGGTGAGCTTAAAATGAAGCATTTTATCATTCCCCTCCTCACACTTTCCTTCTTGCAAAGCAACCTCCCTTTATTCAGTGCCAGCTTTCCTTGACCTCTGCCTTTCCTCTCTGCTGTTGGTTTCCCTCTTTCTTCTCCTGTATTGCTCTGTACATGAAGTCTTTCCTATAGTCAGCAGTGCAGCACCTCCCATGTGATAGTTCCTACAGCTTCTTATTCATTCCACATTGTATTTCTGTGCTCTCCTCAATATTATTTGACTGTCTACAGTTACCTATTCCCTTTGCTGCAAAGCTGCAACTGGTTTTTCTTCAGTATGTGTAATAACTTCCTTTCATACTCAGTGAGCTGTACGTATTTTTTCCATATCAGTCTTTCCCAACACCATTTTGAATGCTGATTTTGTCCTCCAGTGCTTGCCATACCTCCCAGCTTGCCATCACCTGAAGATTTAGTAAGTGAGTCTTCCCTGTGGGAGCTGAGAAGGGAGTGAGGCTATCCAAGGCAGAAGATCATGAAAGGACCAGACAGAGTGACATAAAACACCAAGAAGGCTTTCCTCTTGTGCTTCGTGCTCTGGCTCTTTGGTGAGTGGCATGTCGTGAGGCCGGGCAGCACTCGCTCCCCCACAGGTGACTGCATTTCCAGGTCCCTTGCTGTGCACTCTGCTGAGCAATGCCTTGCTGAGCCCAGATCCACCAGGCCAGGCTTTTAAGGTCCTGGGCCAGCATGAAGTGATTTTCAAGTCAAGTTAGGCGGCATGAAGGTGTGCACTCCTGAACATGCCTGCCTTCCTAGGAGCCGACAGAGCTGTAAACACATGCTCTAAGCTGCAGCAACTGGTTTCAAGAGTTGATTGTTGGAAAAAAAAATTCCCCTGTGCAGCTGGAATGTGTTGCCTCTCAGTGTAATTGAGTGTCTCTCCTTGGTGCTTTTTATTACCAGAGAATGGATAAGCACCCAATTTACTCTTCTAAACTCACTCATTACTTTGTATGCCTTGTCATGTCACTCTTGATTTGTCTCTTCTCTGGCTGACAATGGGAACTGAGCTTTCACCTCTTTTTTTTTGCAGAAATATTTCTGTGTTTCTAATGGTTGTTGTCACCTGTGTCTGCGCTCCTCAATTTCTGCTGTGGGTTTTGCGGTGGGATGCCCATAAAGAGTTTCAGGCCAGGGATGACCTTTACATTTCAATATTTTTAATCTCTCCCGTTTCACACGTGACATTTGTATTGCTCCAGGGAGCAAAGATTTGCACTGAGCAGTGAACAAAAGCTCTTCTGTGCTTTTTACAGAGGAGTCACAGTTACTACAGGAATATGACTGAGAAACATAAGATAGGTTCTCACCCACAAATTGCCACCCATTATTATCAGTCTTATTAACCAGTTTTAATGCCCCAATAGATGTTATTCCTGAAACCTCTTGTGGGTGGAGAAAGCTACTGCTGATTGTGAGAGCACAGCATGAGTTGCCTATGGTACAGTACTGCTGTCGTTTAACTTCAGTTGTCTTGATTGTTTCCCCCAGAGGGATAGGGGAGAGAATTCAAAGGGTAGAAATGAGAAAAGTCATGGGCTGAGATAAAGACAGTTCAATAGGTAAAGCAAAGCAGAACATGGAATTCATTCATTTCTTCACATCAGCAGTGATGGCCATCTCCAGGAAAGCTGGGCTCCATCACTCCTAACTGTGACTTGAGAAGACAAACACCATCCAAACACCATCCAAACATGTATGTGTGTGTGTCCCTTTCTCCTTCCCCCAACGTCTATTGCAGAGCACAACACCATATGGTCTGGGATATCCCTTTGGCAGTTGGGGTCAGCTTTCCCAGCTGTGTCGCCTCCCAAGTCCTTGTGCATCCCCAGCCTCATGGCTGGTGGGGTGGGAAACAGGTCTTGAGGTTGTGCAAGCACTGCTAGGCAATAGCTGAAACATCCCTCTGTTATCAACAGTGCTTTGGTCACAGATCCAAAACACAGCACCATAAAAACTGCTATGAAGAAAACTCTATCCCAGACAAAACCAATACAAATATTTATGCAGAACTGTGCAAAATGTTATACTCTTCAGCTTTGGCTTCTGAGATGAAATAAGCTAGGAATGCCATTGCTGTGCTTTTGTATAATTATCTCATATTTATTTGCATTACCACAGTGCACCTCCACCACTTGTATTTGGCTTAGTTGTTTCTTCCAGAGGGATACCCTAGCTGGCTCCAAATACCTGAGAAGCCAGAGGAGCAAGCATCCATTTTGGCCTTAACTGACCAGCCTCTCGGGGAACCCCACCCCACCAGCACCCTCTACCCAGGTGGAGGCACAGGAGGTATAACACAGCCAGGTCTTGACCCTGTTAGAGGCATAAAATTGTACTCATGTCACGAAATAACTGAAGCTGGCAGGAACCTCAGGAGGTCTCTAGTCTGATCCCAAGCAGAAATTCAGACCAGGTTTTGTCTACTCTGGTCTTGAAAATCTTCAAGGACTGGAGACTGCACAACCTTTCTGGACAACTGTTTGCACTGCCTGGACACTTCGACCTCTCTTGCTTCAACTTACCCTCGTTGCTACTTGTCCTCCCACTCCACTCTGTGAGCAGCCCAGCTGTCTCCTTGATGACCCTCATAGGCATTGGAAAGTCTATTAGACACCACTGAAGGCATCCCTCCTGCAGGCTGAACCTCACCCCTCTTCAGGGGTAAGGGATACAGTCCTCATCACCTTGGAGGCCCTCCATGAGCTCTCTCCAGTTTGTCCATGCCCTTCCTGTATTGTGGGGCCCAAAACTGAACAATCCACCCTAGATGTGGCCTAACAATTGCCAAGTAACTCATCACTTCCCTCTACCTACCAGCCAAACTTGTGTTAATACAGCCCAAATTGGGAACCTATCCAGTTAAAACCCCCCCAAAACCCCCCACAAAACAATAAAATACAGGTTTCTCAGGGTTTGTTTTTAAAGACAAAGGTGTCTCCCAATCCAGTTCACATGTGGCTGTGCCAGTGTAATTGAGAGGGTATTATGCCATGGTACCATGACTGAGTAGCCAAAGAGGAGACAGAAGGATAACAAAGGGCTTGAGGAAGCCAATGCTGTGTTCAGGAATTGCAGCCTTGTTTGTATCCCCAGATTTTGGCTTTTACTATGCTCTTTTCTTCCTAAGGAAGTAACTGCTTAGTACTTGAAGTTTTGTGCCCATAAATGTCTCCACCTACCAAAACACTCTATGCAGTGCAAGCACAATTGGCTGCACCACAGGTTTAAATGTATGATTTCAGAGAAAAAGGGCAGATGTTCAGAATATCTCTCAAAAGTGCCTCATTTGTGCTTTATGACAGCCAATAAGGCAAGGCTGAAAAAAAATACATCATTTGATCAAATAATGTCTGTGTGTAGAAGCAGTACTTATTCCCCTTCTTTTAAAGTGCATTGGATTCATCAATCATCACACTCAAGCCCTTAGTTATTCAAAATAAGAAATAAATCATTAAAATGTCCACGATGATTTTAATACCGTGTTGTTCAGGATGCATACTCTGAAATTCTGGGGAAATACATTATCTAGTCAAAAGGACAAGCTTATAGTTTATGACCCTATTAAAGAAGATGTTATAAAATGCACTGTTGGTTTTGAAAATTGTCGATATTGAGATGACTGCTTTCCTTTGATTACAGCTGGCACCAGGCAATGCTACACTATAGCCCAATGAAGTCTAGGACAGGCTTCAGTAAGAAAGGGACAACAAGAATTAATGATTGCAAATTTATTACATGGAACAGCAAATTCAACTGAGTCACATAATAGACAACCAGTGCAATGGGAAGTCTCCTTTCTTTACGTAAACCAAGTCATCAAGCTGGTAAATCAACTCATGAACTTCATATTCCATGGTATTCTGAAACAAATTAAAACAATGTCATGTTTTATGTTGAGATGAATATGACTTAGTTTCACTTCTGTACATCTAGTTAAGTGCCCAAATCTGTTATTTGTACTCAAACATTAATCCTCCCTCCTCACACAGTTCTTCTCTTTTCCATGTCCTAACTCTGCTGACCTTTTAGAGTATGGAAGCATGGAATGCATCTTGCAACCAGGTTGGCTCAGGGGGCTGAGCTATGGATAAAATTTACAGCTGTATGTTAGGCTAGGGCATGAGTATAGAGTAGTGGCTTCTACACCAACATGCTACTGAGCTATGAAACATTTCCCACACACATATGGACCTAACAACAAGAACAGCTGCACCAGCTCAAACCAGAGATCCATGGAGTTCCTCATGTTCCTTTCATCTATGAGAAGCAACAGACTGCCCAGGGCAGTGCCTAAGACCAGAGCAAGCAAGTAGCAATGTTGCTCTACAACACTCTCTGAAATCTTTGGTTCCTTTCTTTCCAAAATAGTTTCATCCTGAATATACAGCAAAGGTATTCTTTACTTGTGGGGGGGTTTGCAGGTTTTATCATAAAAAAACGGACAAACACATTCCCCCCAAAAACAACAACAACAACAATCCCCCCCCAAAAAAAACCAACAAAAAACCCAAAACAAACAAAAAAACCAACCAACCAAAAAAAAAACAAAACCAAAAAAAGCCCAAACAAACAAACAAAAAAACCCAACCAAACCTCTTTCAGTCAACAGCTGGAAATAATTCTTAGATTGCAAACAAAAATGGTGATCTTTTATTGTGAGATAAAGTATTGGAAGAAAAGAGACTGAAGAAGGGTACACGGGTATATTGACTATAGTGTCCATTTCCCAGTAAAGCTCACTTAGACCTTAAGTAGATACTTTCAAAGATGGATATGTAAGTGCTAGGTGATATTACTAGACCTCATTTTCTTCCTCCCTTACATCCCCAGCCCTGCTCTTCATAGAGAATGTTTACCCTCAAAAAGGTCCTAATTATGATGTGAGGACTACCACCTGCATGTACAGATTCAGTGTTAGGGAGATCTCATGTAGGATTAGGTGACTGAAGGTGGCTTTGACCAAAAATGTCTAGCTTTTGTGTTTCAAGTACCATCTACACCCTCTGTCTTTAAACTTTACAGTTTCTGTACCATTTCTGTCATTTTGCAGAGGATGCAAATTCCTTCTTACTCAACCTTAAAGAGACAAGAAAACAATCCCTTTGTCAAGAGCGTACACTCTAAGGCTCTGAGCCTTAAAAATCACATTTCTGTCAAGACATCTCCTAGTGACCATATGAAACATTCACATGTGTATCTAGGTTTGTACTAGCTTTGTAATGCTTCTCAGTAACTCCTTCTGTCACGAGGATCATCATTATTGAAAAAATCAGAACAAATTCTTGTCACTTTCAGATGTCTACTTACCACTGCCTTTGATAGTTCTTCCATTTCGAGGCTGAAAAATATATTAATTAGATGACTGTGCAGAAGTACTAGATACCAGATTTATAAGCACACCAAAATAAATCACCATCATGCAGACAGCGTACTGTATAAGAAGACTGCAGTAAGATTTCCCATATCAAATATCAGGGGATCCGGGCAGGGTGGGTTGTATGTTTGAATTTGAGAAATATTCATTCAGCCTCTGTCCAAACAGCTAAAATTCTGGCTTTAATTATTCTCATTCAGGGTTTTGGTCTCAATCCCTTGGGGAATTGCACATGCCTAAGAAAGAATATACAAATACCAGCACAGAGAGAACCTGGCTGGACACACCTGAAGTAAGCTAAAATGCAAATGACAGTTAATTGGGACTCTGGTTACCTGATATGACCTACTTGATAATATTTTTAATTTTTTAAAATATGTTGAAAATATTCCTAGAAGTTAGTTTTTTGTTAATCAGAGTGTGTCCAAACCAGATCATTTGACATTAGACCATGTCATAGCTCAGCAAGCCAATGGGTGAAAGACATGAGAGAAATTACGATAATTTTGCTTTGGCTTTTCACTCTGTTTTGCAGTGTGACATCACTTACTGGCCGGACCTTTCAGGCCAAGTGGACAGTCAGCTCAGGCACATTTTACCATCAGTGCACCTTGACAATCTTGGAGATACAAGCCACATGGATGATTTGGCTCAAGATAAAACACTTGCAGCAGCATATCTTCAAACAAAAAAATGTGCGTAATCCATTACTACCCAAGATCTCGTTATCTTGGTCTTTTTTAGTCAAATCAGAGCTTTTTAAGCAAATGGCTCCCTCAGCTTTCAAGCAAGGGATATTTGGCCTCTACTCAAAACAACTGCAGCAAGAATTGGTGAAGGGAAACAGCTTTCCTGTTATATGGACATATATCACCTGTGATTCAGAATCTTTAGAAGGTAAGAGATTCAGATACCCTGAAAAGGAAAAAAGGCCGTCCCAGAGTCCCATGACTGTCCTGTAAAATAAAACATAATAACAAAGTACTTTAAACTCAGTTCAATAGATCTGTTGACAAATTTTGGTACCATTCTATCAGAATATTGATAATTCAGGCCTTTTTCAGCAGCATGCAAACAAGATGTTGATAGTCCCCAATGCCCATTCATCTGGAATGCTGATTAAAAATTAATGCCCAAAGGGCATTGTCAAGAACTTATCCATTCTGTCTAGTGTAAATATACTAAATTACCAAAATTAAAGATTCACAGGGTTTAGAAAAGGTATAAAAGAAATTTTTACACATAGGGTAGGTATAAGCAGGGTCTGCACAGATCACTTCTCAACCACTGAAAAAACCCCCAAGCTGACTTCAAAAAAGCAGCAAAAGAAACAAGAAAAATGACATACTTCCCTGCCCACTGCTACTTGCTTGTCTTCACATTTACATACCTTCTTTGTAAACTTTGCAGAAGCAATCTGTGATTCCTGCAAGCAGATAGTGTAAGTTAATCAACATGCCAGCTTTTCTTTGGTTTGGTACAGACCCTCTATTACTGATGAGGCTGGTGCACTCCACATGAGAAGAGAGATAACTTTACACTTATCACAGATATTGGAACAGCAGCAAATGGATCTTTCTAAAGATTGATTTCAAGCCTTGCCTTAATCAATGTTACTGCATTCATTACCATCATTCAATATGCTTCCCTCGCTGTACAGCAAAGCGCATTCATGCTCTGGTAGGGGAAGCAGAGCTCACCCTGGAGCAAATGCAGCAGCTCTACTCCTCAGGCTTGAATTGTACTGATAGCTCTTACCTTGTTAAAATGTGGCTGCTCCTCACCTTTCAGACTGCCCTTGGTTTTAACCCAAGAATGATTGCTGGTTTTAAGCCTTCCTCTAAAATCTTTATTCTTCAGAAAATTGCTCATTTTTCTTCTCAGCCTTACATCAAGGAATAGAAACTTTGCCCATGACTTTATGTGAGCAGACTAAGCTCCTCATCTAACACAGCCCTGAACTTGCAGCCTGGTTTGGGAGCCATCCTGCCCATGACATGGCTGCCAGGCTGCATGCTCACAGCCAGCCAGGAATGGGATGGCTTTGTGTGCCATAGGAACAGTTGGGTTTAGTTACTTGGGGTGGACTTGAAAAACAAGCACATAAAATGAGCAAGGACATGAAGACAGGGGGTGAAAACAGGAAAACATGCAGATGGGAAACTGGAGAGGAAGAATTTTAAAAGACAAAATATATGAGCAAGAAGGAGGGAATCCCATTTCACAGAATCACAGAATATGCTGAGTTGGAAGGGACCCACAAGGATCATTGAGTCACGGTACAAGAAGAGGATTTCTTTGGTTCAAGCCTCAAGACAATTTATGGAGCAACTGACATCAACTTACAGGGCTATAAAACACTACGGAAGAAAAAAGTGTTTGCTCAATCAAGGTGCTTTAAGGATGCAAAGAAGGAGAGTACATCAAAGAGACAGTGTGAATGCTACCGTTGTTCTGATATGATTATTACATACCAAGCAAAGATAGAGACTGACTCATGACTTAGCCTGCAGTGTCAACTATCCTAGCTAATTTATAACAGTGAGAGGTTACTATGTGGAAGAAACATGGTAAAAACTGAGCTTCTAAACAGTGTCTTGGTTTGACTTTAGGCAAATGTTCAGTGAGGTGATTGTGATGTAGCTAGGTTTAGATAGCTCTTTTTGCTTTCTTTGTAAGTGTCATTAGACATTGATGTTAAATAGTCTTAGTTCTCACAAAATATTTTAAGTTCCCCAGGTGGAGTTCAAGCCCCAAATTGTCATTGACTTTGCCTTTCATAGTGCTTAGGCCTCATTCTTTCTCTTGAAACACCACCTACATTCTGTACATAATCTATAACTCTGATTATTTTTTTTTAATTCACATAAATACAGTATGATGGTGAAAGTTGAAGTTCAGCTGAAATCAGTAGGATTTCATAACTGTTTCATTGGATGCACTACATATAGACTCATGTTTGAGTCTTACATAGACACAAGATTCCTTGTGGGCTAAGAAAGTACAACTTCATGTAATAGATTTGAGCAGCTGGGTAAAACTTTACAAAGTTCTTTTTCCATATTTCACATTTATATTCAATCTTCCACTTTAATTAGACCACACCTAAAAATCATATTGCAGATATATAGCTGATATTAGTCATATTTTTGAAAGGATATTTTATGAGATTCAGCTCCCAATCTTGAGGGCACATAACAGAGGGTGAATTTTTTGAAAGGTAAAAAGGACTCTGTTCAAAGTTACTAGATGATTCTGTATGTTCCCTCATTAGCTAAGCTGTGGAAGCATAGGAGTCAATATCAAACTCAAAAACATTTATTAGACATTTATGACTGAAATATTAGAATTTTTTATACAATCAAGTTCAATATGGTAGAGTTTTATGGTTGCTTTAGGAAAGTATGCTTGGAATTATAATAAGCTAAAGACACTGGCAAGAAGAGATACTGAAACACATGTAAAAATACTTTCTATTTTTGTCAGAGAACTCAAACTCCACAAGTAAATTGGCCTTTTTAACATACCCAGGGGCTGAGTGAATTTTATGGAAAAAGTTCTTGATAGAGTGGTGATAATAAAAAAGTGATATAAAGCAGAGATGACATTGAGCTGGGACCTAATATGACTGCACCAGCAAAAAAGCTATACTCAATAACTTCTCGATTTAATCTTTTTAATCTGAGTCAGAAACACAAAAAAACCCTCAAGCTCAAATAGACTATTAAAATTGGTAAAGCAAATCATACACCTCCACGTCCAGCATGATTTAAGTTATGCTATTGATCAAATTTTATGTATATTTGTAGCATAGTTAACTCTGTATTATTAAAAAGTGAGAGTCAGGTTTAAATACTAACTGGCTGTAAGAGAATGTTTTGGTTCTTGAGCTCTGAATTGGTGAAAACCAGCAATTTCATATACAGTTTAATGTAGTTCAGAATTACATACAAACTACTAACAAGAAGAAATAATCTTTTATATACTCTCCTACATCTCTTAAAACATTTATTTGGAGAGAAACGTCAAAAAGTTGGGTTTGGAGAGCTTGCTTTTTAATTTTAAGGAGCGGGTGCTTTGAAACAAAAGCAATTACAGCCTACCTCATTTTTATGCATGCTGTTGAATATGGAATAACAGAGATCCAAAACAGAGCTGGAGATCTGAGAAAAAAAAAACAAACAGTACTTTAATACATTTACTGGAAGGATGTGGTGTACAAGTTTTCACAGAATCACAGAATCTGCCAAGTTGGAAGGGACCCACAAGGATCATCGAGTCCAACTCCTGGCCCTGCACAGGACACCTCAAGAATCACATCACGTGCCTGAGAGAATTGCCCAAATGCTACTTGAACTCTGTCAAGCTTGGTGCTGTGACCACTTCTCTGGGAAGCCTGTTCCAGTACCCAACCACCCTCTGGGTGAAGAACCTTTTTCTAATACCCAACCTAAACCTCCCCTGACACAACTTCAGGCTATTCCCTCGGGCTCTGTCACTGGTCACCACAGAGAAGAGATCACTGTCTACCCTCCTTCTTCCCCTCACGAGGAAACTGTAGACTGCAACAAGGTCTCCCCTCAGTCTCCTCTTCTCCAGGCTTGATTCTGATCCCAGCACAATTTAGATTCACTAAAACCATTCAGAGCAGGGAAAGATCTACTGATGCTATTATGACCTGAAAAACTAGTATTTTGTATGAGGAGAATACACACAATACTACTATTGTCAATACAGTTTTGTGCTATAAAGAGACCTAAATCAACCTCTTACATTTAAAATACATTTTTCTATGCTAATTGTTCTAAGAATAGCTTTGGGGTTTGGCATTTTTAATCTATGCTCATTTTCATCTACAAGCATTTCAGCAGATCAATTCTATAATCTTTAACTGTATACTGAAACACACTGTCCCATACTCATTGCCACAGGAGAGTGGTTTGCTTATGCATGCAATCACATTAGATGAGAAATAACTACAGGTCCAAAGGAAGTGAAGTGTAAGACACCTGAACAATGGACTCTTGAACTGTTTTCCTCAGGTTTTGGTTTAAAAAACCGAAAGATTTCAGAAAGAAAAAACCAGCACAAAATGTTTAAAATTTCCAGATACTTCCTGATCCTGCAAATATTTTTCTCTCCTCTTTGAAAATGACCCTTGGGCTCGATATCAAATGCAGTGGGGCTGAGCTTTCAGATACTGATTTTTTTTTTTTTTTAAAGTGTTTGCAAGTTCTGAGACAGAGACACTAGAGCAGAAATGAGCTGTGAAAATTTCTTCTCACTCCCCTCTCCTCTGAGAACCCCAGAGAAAACCCATCAACCCACCAAGCACCCAGGGGACCAGACAGGACCTATAACTCCTGCAGCACTGTCTGGCGCTTCTTGCTTCAGTGTTAGGTACCAGTGGGATGGCAAGAAAAGCACTTTTTTTTTTCTTTCTCTAGGTCTGTGTTAGCTCCACAGGGAGGAAAGCACATACACCAGCAAACTCGCCCTGCTCTCCAGAGCCACTGGCTCTCTGGCAGAGGCTCTGCCACCAGCAGACATCAGTGCTCTGGGTTATAGAGGACAATTACTATGTCTGGAAGAGAGATCAAACACATTACCAGAGTCAATTTACCTGGGGTTCATTGGACATTTCCATCCACTGACTGAAACACAGTGCCAGTTGCTTTAAAAAGTAAAGATTAGACATTAGCAGTGTGTCTATCATACCTTAGGATCTGTGGTTTCACTGGGGGAGTCGGGACTGACTGGTTATTAGCCTTCCCGGCTTTTGGTTACCCAGGTATCCTATTCTGCACCCTGATGCACATCACACCCCTGCCCACACCTGTCCCACCTACCTCTGCAGGCAGCAAAGGGCGCCAGCCTCCCTCCTCCCTCAGGGATTTCATAAGGTATTCCCAGTCCGTTGCCCATTTCCTTCCTCATTTCCCTGCCACGGGCGAGTCTCGTTTCCCACCTCTCCCGGTCAGCCCGTCCCGGGTTGGACCGTCTCTGCCCTACCTGTCCACCGCGCATCGCTGTCAGACGGCAGCGACAGACGTACCTGTTTTTGGGGCAGCTCCACACCGTCCCAGTAGCGCGAGAAAGGCTGCGGGAACCCTGCGGGGACACGGCAGCGTTAGGATGCCGCGCAGCCCAGCCCCGACGGCGCCCCTGAAGGGGAGACGACCCTTTCAATGTTTCGGGGTTCTGCCGTGTTCCCCCTCTCCGCCCCCGCCTCCCGGTGCCGGGACGTACCTGAGCCCCGCGGGAGGGCGCAGAGGCAGCAGGCAGCCAGGAGCAAGGGCAGGGCGGGCGGTGGCGAGGGCATGGCCGGGCGGGGACAGACGGACGGACGGGCGGACGGGCTGCCTTTATGGAGCCGCGCCGAGCCCCATATGGAGCCGCCGAGCCAATGGGCGCCGGGGCGGTCCCAAGCACCGCTGCCACTGTCGCTCCCTCTGCCGGACACGGCGCTGTCACCCCCTGCCACCCCTCTGGACCGGCCCGCCCGCGAAAGGTCCAACATTAGACATCCCGTCCTCTGCCCTCTGGAACTCTCCGTCAGAGCTGCTTTTCTGGAAGAGGTGACACAGAGGAAGGAGGGAGGGAAGAAAAGAAGACGCTATGCATGGTCAAGCGACGGAGCTGCTGGGATTTTCATTTTAAGCAAAAAATTCAGTTTTGTAGTGGGGCTTGCTGAGTGTTTAAAAAGTATTTCTCCTCGTGACAGTTTGGAAAATTACTTTTTCATTCTAATTAGAAGGGATGTGAACTTTCATATTGAACAAGTCCTGGCCAATCTTACTACGTTTACCTTCGCGTGAAATAAGGAAAGCCATCCACCTCTTAATTAATTTCATAGTGGATATGGTTGTAGACAAGACATAGATCTGCTCACAACAGAAAGTGATTCTCTGTTCTTCCTGATTTAATCCCTGGATTTGACTATGGAAAACTTCCTGTTTTTCTCTGGGAGAGTTCTCAGGGTAATGCTTTCTAAACAGGTCACAGTCTGAGAAGGCGGAGTCCTCCCAGACACTATTTTCATAGACTTTGGGTGTGCTAAAGGAAATACATAGTCAGTTTTCCATCTTCTAACATACTGAAATTTGATGATCTTTAAGGTCCCTTCCAAGACCCTAATCATTCTATGATTCTCTGTGCTAGAGATGCTTGGGAGGCAATGGCTCCAATGTTGGATGTAAGACATAAAAAGCTGCAGAAGATATTATTGTCACAGCAGCCCACCTCATCTCATAATGTCCCTCAATGGCTGTGCTGCACACTAAAAGGATGACGGCAGGACTGTTCCGGGTGGAAACATTTCAGAGCAGTCAGAGAGGAGATGCACCTGCTTTCTCACAAAGAAAAGGGGAGCCAGACTTCATGTGACTTCGTCAGCTGCACAGCTGTGTGTCCTGAGCACATAAAGAGGTGTAGGAGGAGCTGAGTGACCCCAGCATCATTAGTTCACCCTTTGTTCCTTCTCCTGGGAGACAGAGGTCTTCGCCTCATCACAGCCCTCTGGGGGCAATAATCTGAGCGATAAGCTCTCAGGAGAGATCAGATATTCCTATAGCAGACACTCAGCTGTCAGCTTTTCACTGTTTTAACTGGAAACGGGAGTTTCAAGACAGGATAGTATTAGAAAAGACTATTCCCTCTGACTGTATAATTTTTATCCTCTGTGGGAGCTAAGCAGATTGCAGCGAGTTTTGTGATGATGGTTTCTCACAGCAAATCCTCCCAGGCTTTCAGTAACAAGGAGATGCAGGGTTCCAAGAAGCCCATAGCTCCATTCTGCAATGACCCTGCTTTCTGTCCGAGCCCATGAAATCCTACAGTGAAAGGAGGATGGCAATTTATTTTTCATGGCAGCAAGAAGCAGGTTCGTGTTTGGTATAATTTCATTTAAGCCAATGTAGTCACCAAAATGTGAAAGCAGAGCTGAGTGTGAGCTGAACGCATCAGAGGTAGACAGTGAGAGAATGTACTCTGAAGGACTGTACATTTTCATATTAACTGTCTTCTTTCTATCTTTTGACACTTTAACCAAACTGAAAATTATTGTTCACCAACAGTGTTTCTCTTGCCATGCTTATCACAGATTTTGCATCCAATTCACTCCCATGCGGCAGAAATGCAGGATCTTAGAGTCATTATAGATTCACTGTTTGCTACTAGTTTTTTAGTATTAGCATATGAGATACCAATACTTTTAAATTCTAAATATTTTCTACCTTTTTCTAGAGAATACTATGAAATTATTACCAGATTAAGATTGCCACTGATTATTCACTGTAATGGGATGTGGTTCTCTGGTTTCCCTGTCTGGTAAGAAAGGCACAGTCTGTTGCTTTCTTTCTCAGGCAACTCATTACCTGCTTAAATTCCCACTTCTTTCCCACACAGCCAGTTATATAGTAGCCCCTTTCAAAGTATTTAAACATATCTGAGTTCAGTAGTGGGATTTTTTGTAATAGCATAGGGAAAGAGGCGTGTGATTATGTCGGGTTGGTAAAATCTACCTCTCCCTGACATAAAATAGTGGATGCTACCTGAACCTTTCCTTCTTCGTTCTCATGCACAATAAACAATCTGCTGCTTTAATTCACCCTTTCTCAGGGAGTACCCTATGTGTACTCTGTGTCTTCCTTCAGCAAATTTTGCCTATATGTTGGTGCAGTGAAGCCTGTGGATTTGCATCACATGAGGCTTATGCTAAGATGAGATAAAAATTAACTCAGTCAAGTTCCATTAAAAAAAACCAGTACAACCTATCACCAAACTGAAAATAGTATTTTATCACAGTCTGTGTGGTACGAAAGAAGAATGGGAAAAGTGTTTAAAAACAAAATTTCAAATATATGAGCATGTCGTATTATGAACACATTCAGCTTCCTTAAATCAGAACTTTCTCTGCTGCTGTACATTTCATTTCAAAGGTGTTAGCTAAGGTGCAGCTCTCCCAATGGATATATCAACACCAAGCCACATTAATGAGCCATACTTTTACTGCACAAATAAAATTTCTGCTTTAAGGTCCTGGGCTCCCCACGTAAAGAGAGAGAAATAGGGTGAGTTTCAGTGCCCACAGTGATTCACAAATGACTTAAAAATTAAGCTTTAGTGGGGGGTCAATGAGGGTTTTTTATGGTAAGGAGGCTTGGCATATATTTAGCAGTAGCAATATTATGACACCCATAATTTTAGTATAAAACATGCTGTGATTGATAAATTAATAACAAGAAAATTTGGCATCAGTGGACAAAAAGGGTGAAGGGCTCTCTTCCTTTTTGTAAATGATCTCTGCAATGAAATCAGCAGTTATCACAGACAGTAAGGACAGAACCTGTAAAATGGCATCCCAGCTGGCTCCTTCTGCTTTCTCGTGCATCTCCCCCTCTGCAGCTCAGCAGTGCTTGGTACAAAGCCTTATCCTGCTCTGAGGGCTTTTTATACCTCACCCATGACCTGTTTCGAAAGATGAGAAAAGCTGAAGAAACCAGAGGGTGTTTATTAGGCAAACCTGCCACAAAGCCTGCAGAGATCTCCCACTACTCATCTTCTATTAAACATGACAGTGCCTACTTATGCTGAATACAAGGCTGAGTTCAGTGTGTTGTACTTTACAGATATAAAGCCACAGTCTTAAAGTTGAGTACGCCAACAAGTAGATATTTGAAGGGGATCAGTAAAAGCGTGTCTCATAGAGTAGGAGTTCAAAGACAAGAAGTTAACCAAGGGCATCAAAATGGAGAATGAATGCTAATGGGGAAGTTAGGAAACTACAGCAGGAATCTCAACATTTGTACTCTTTTGGATAGTTTCTTGGCTAATTTCTTGGAGAAACATGATTTTATGTCTGCAACATTGAGACAGAGAAGTGTAAAATCCTTTGAAATGAAGCAATTTGCACCTACCAGGTTGTGCTGTGTGGAAGTAGTACTGTGGCAATGGGCTGTATTGGGCTACACTGAGCTGAAAGTTCAGTATAATTAGTACATGTCAGGACATTTGAAAAGATCTTCAACCTAGAACTCTGACTTGGCTTAATTTTATTCAGTGTTCCTCCAGCTGGACAAGGAAGCAGTATGTTCTTCTGCTTAGGCAACCCATGAGATAACTCAATCAATACCTGCGGTTGAGCGTTCATCAAGGATTTATCAAGAATGACGTCACAACAAAGTACATGCTAACTGCTCTGGTGTTTGGTTTGTTGGTTTTTTTTTTCCAAACCAGGGAAAGCCCACTAGTTAAATGATGTAAAATACAAAAGGACAGAATGTCTAGAGGGAGATGGTAGGTGGGTGGATGGATGGCAGCCTCCTTCTTTTCTGGTGATACAACTTAAAATAGACAGTGTTGCTGTGGAAACATGCCTAAATGGTGCAATGCTTCCAAATGCAGGCTTGGGGTGTCCCTTTTGCTAAAAAAAGAAATAGTGATTCTCAGAGACTCTTGTGAGCTGAGCCTGAAGATGAACAGAGGACCTAGTGCCCTGTAACAAGAAGTGACAGCCTAAGAAAAGGAAAGGTTTGGCTCTGAATGGTCAAAAAAGATTGTATGGAATAAGAATTTATGATGTTAGATGGCAAGGGGAGGAATGCTTAACACAGTTGATCTGGAATACCCACAACATTTATAAAGGAACTGAGAAAAGAGTCCTGTCAGTAGGATCTCTGCTACAAGATGGTATCCTGAACCACCAAAAAAATCTGCTTTTTGAGATAATATTTAGTTCACATTTGAAAAACACATTTTGCCTTGGCTTGCTCATTTTTTATTTCATTTCATCATTTTGAGCTCAGTTGTAGATTTTGCAATTTAGAGCAACATCACCTGAAAAAACACATCATGATACTTTCTTGAATGCTACAGTGATGGATATAGAGCATTAAACATTAAACAACAATTACTTTGTTTGAAGTATAAAGCTGGCACCTTCAGTATTGCCATTTATCAAATACCTATTGCAATAGCAACAGTGACTTATTCATTTAACTGTGTACTTTGTAACTGAGTATATTATAATACTCTTCAGAGTTTGTCTATGAACACAGATTTCATCTTGTTAATCTTCTTTCATTTAAGTTGAATACATAGCAAGAAGATGTAAAATCATTCTCCCTCTTTTTAGATGAAGAAACTCCCGGAGATAAGCCATAATGCTTCTCATGGTTGAGCTATCACGGCCAGTGCTGACATAAGGTTTGATGAATGGCTGATGGTCACACAGTTCCAAAACATCAACTGCTCTTCTAGTGAGCTGAATAAATGGAGAAGCTGGTTGCTAACCATCAGTTATACTTTGGGGGATGTCAAAGCTTCACATTACATGTTGAAAATAATATTATACTCTCAAGCCTTTTCCTTGTAGTAAGGCTGAAAGCTGTGTCAATAAAATTTTCTATTTACCCAGCCCCTCATATTTTCAGGGCTCTTCTTGGTGGTGGTTGCCAAAGCTGGTTAAAATACACTAATTTTAGAAATAGGAATTTTCAAATAGACAATCTCCCATGTGTTCTCATCTTAGTGAGAACACGATTTTATTGTTGCAGCCCCAGACTGACTGTGGACTAAT